AGTGACTCATATGTACCACCATTGGGAGATGGCAGTTCCTCATGTCTCTATTACTAAATCTCCAAATATCTCATGGAAGGAACTTGGTCCATTAGCCAAAGCATGGAGTGCAACAGATCAAGACCAACTCTCCACAGAAGGTGTTACCAAACGAACTGTGAATTGTAAGACTACTGGTTACCCACAATATCACACAGAAATATGTGAAGATGCCCCTCCCATAGATCCTGACCCAGATGTTCCCCATGACTGTTTTGAACAGATGAAGATGGAAACAGCCCACCTTCCTACAGTACATGAAACGGCTTTGCCAGATCCTGACTGCACACTGTTTGTGGATGGCTCCAGATTTGCGGATGAACAAGGAAGATACCACACTGGATTTGCAGTGACCACAGTAGATCAGGTACTTCAAGCATCCCCACTTCCCCCATCTATGTCTGCTTAAGAAGCGGAACTAAAAGCCCTCACTGTAGCATGCCAAATGTTTGAAGGGAAACGTGTTAATATTTACACGGATTCAAGATATGCCCTGGGCGTAGCACACGATTTTGGATTAATATGGAAAACAAGAGGTTTTCTGACAGCAACCGGTACACCAGTTAAACATGGTACAGCTATCAAGGAATTGATGGATGCTTTACTCCTTCCTGAAGAAGTGGCCATACTGAAAGTAAAAGCCCATGGAAGACGGAATTTGGAAGAAACATATGGCAATCATAAAGCTGACCAAGCCGCCAAAGATGCTGCATGTCAATCAAGGGAAGTGGACAGAAGAGTGTCCGGTGAGGAAATTCCTATTTTTCCCATGCAAACCTTACCTACAGACCTCAAGTTTTTGAAAGAACAGCAAACAGCTGTAAGTCCTGAAGAAAAGCAAAGCTGGAAACAGAAAGGAGCAACCTTGCAGGATGGAGTATATACTAGCAATCTCAAATTTTGTCTACCTAAATGTATGTATCCGGCTGTGGTTCAGTGGGCCCACGGAGCAGCGCACTTGTCTAAGACACTTTAATTGCTAAATATTTTGAAGCACCAGGTATTACCACTCTGACTAAAACCAGAAGTCTTGTGCTATCTGTGCCAAGTGCAATCCGGGAAAATTGGAGAAAGTGTCCCCCAAACACCTGGCGAAGCCACACTACCCATTCCAGAGAGTCCAAATTGACCACATTCAGATTTCAAAGAGTGGCCGGTATGAATATGCCCTAGTTATGGTGGACATGTTCTCAGGATGGCCAGAAGCTTTTCCGGTCACTAATATGACCGCCAAGACCACTGCCAAGCGGTTGCTCACTGAAATTGTCTGTAGATATGGAGTTCCTGAAGTGATTGAAAGTGACCAGGGCCCAGCTTTTACAGCACTAGTGACTAAGGAAGTCTGGGCAGCACTCGGGGTGACCCTTGCATTCCACACACCCTATCACCCACAAAGTAGTGGTAAGGTAGAACGCATGAATGGCACCTTAAAAGCCAGAATGCTTAAGATGGCCCAAGAAACTAACCTGCCCTGGCCAGAGAGTCTCCCCATAGCTCTGTTTAGTGTTAGGTACACACCAAGAGGGAAGTTTAACCAGTCTCCTTATGAGATTTTGTTTGGTTCAGCCTCTAGGTTAGGTTGTTACTTTCCTCAACAACTCCAACTGCAATCAGATACTATGGTTAATTATGTGACTGCTCTTTCCCAAGTTTTAAACAAGATACATGCCCAAGTGTTTTCTTCCATTCCAGATCCAGAGTCCGATACAGGCACACACAAGTTGCTCCCTGGTGATTGGGTTCTGGTTAAGAAGTTCCTGAGAAAACATACCCTTGAACCCAGATATGATGGTCCGTTCCAAGTCCTTCTAACCATGACTACCTCAGTTAAATTGGCTGGAAAGAACTCTTGGATACACGCTTCACATTGCAAGAAAGTCCCAGATCCAGAGGAAGCAGATCCTGTTATAGCATGAATTTTGTGTATTTGTTCTTGCTGCTAGGTCTGATAAAGGCCCAACAAGTCGCTATAACCAAAGACAATCATGTTTATACATTTTGGTACAATTCCTCTAGTACACGGGTAGCCACATTTGCATTTGATTATCGTGATATTGTAAATTGTACATTTCCACCAGCATTGTTGTCAACAGTGTACAAAGACATACCTAACATTAAGGACCCATACATATGTGTGACTGATGACTACTGGGGATATGAGTGTAGCTCATGGAAGGCAGTAGGTTGGAATACAGGGCCAGCTTGGGGCTATAGACCACAAAGTGCCTTAGACAGATTAGATACAAATAGGGAGTCCTTACTGAAAAGAATGACGTTCAGGAAACCAGGGGGGGGCGACACCTATGAAACTAGCTTTAAACATAGAGCATCCCAGTCCTGGAGATGCTGGGCAATATGTAATGGGAATGTACTGGAAGGGAGGAGGTTCATACAATAAACAGGGGACCTTTTACTTACGGGACATGTATGACGCACCTGAATGGGTAGGTGCCACGCACATGACTATTAATCCTCTTAAGCCACATATCAAAACTCTAAAAGAGATGATAGCTATAGCTAACCCCATGTATGAGGACACTATGGCTGTAGAGACGGGTTTCTCTGACACTAACTTATGGCTTGAGTGGATGAAATATAACGCTTACAAACACAACAGATCTAACTGCCTGTGTCTGTGGAGGAGCGAGGCCTCACTTAGGTACTGTCCCTTTGAACATACCTCCGGAGATAGAGATGTGTTTCCTAAGTCTCTATACTATACTTAAAACTGACCGGACGGAATGTGAATCATGGATAAAGGAATACCCAACTATCCTTAAAGATGTTAAGCCAGATAAAGGTATCACCATATACCTAGGTAACTACACTTGTTATGGTATATATGATGGGGTAGGCCAATTCTTTGGTAATTTCACTGGTAAGTACTGTGCCACATATAGCCCAATTCCACCCGCCCTAATCCAACAACAAATAAGATCCCTTGGAGACATATATTGGATTTGTGGGGATATGCAGATTAGAACCAGATTGGAAGGCGTATGGTGGGGAGAATGTGCCCTAGCTAAGGTAATTATGCCTATACACATAATCTCTGATGGACACCAAGATAACCCAGGTATATCACACCAATACTCTAGAATAAAGAGAGATACTCCTGTAAAAGGCAGTTTTGATCCTCATATTTACATAGATGCCATAGGAGTGCCAAGGGGGGTGCCGAATGAGTTTAAAGCAAGAGATGAAGTGTCCGCAGGGTTCGAATCTATTTTCCCAATCATCACGGCCATTAAAAATTTAAATTGGATCAATTATATCTATTATAACCAACAACGTTTTGTAAATTATACAAGAGATGCCCTCCAAGGTTTGGCGGAACAATTACAAGCTACTTCCCAGATGACCTTCCAGAATAGAATGGCCTTAGACATGATCCTGGCGGAGAAAGGGGGAGTATGTAAAATACTCCCAGACACCATGACATGCTGTACCTATATTCCAGATAATACAGGCCCTAATGGTAAGGTAACGTTGGCAATAGAAAAGTTAAAGAGTTTGTCCAATGAACTGAAACGAAATTCTGGGGCCACAGATCCATGGGAAAGATGGTTTGGATGGATGTCTGGATGGCAAGGTGCTCTGGCCCAAATAGGTGTTGCCATTTTAATAACGATAATCATCCTCGCTCTTCTTGTTTGTTGTGTGTTACCCTGTCTTAAGAAATGCCTACAAAAGACAGTTGATCAGACAATCGACCAGACCACCCCGACCTTCCTTCACCAAGAGATTGACGACATCGACCGTGATACACCACATACACCCTTACAGTCCCACCGCACTAAATCAACAGCTACTTCCTCTTAAGGACATTTAGGGATAGCGTCTGTCTCTACGGGCAGAAGTCTGCCGCGGGAGAAGTAGTGGACAAGCTGCTATGGGGTACCCGCGCAGTGAAGTGTTCGAGGCCTGTTCAGACAGATGTGCAAGATAGCCTTTTGTTATTTTTCTATAGGGACAGTATTAGAATGAGAGATAGTAGTTTTAGTAAAAATTGCCATTTTAAGGGGGGACTGTTATGGACAGATGAATTAAAATAAAATGGCTATTTACTAATGTCTATTTATTCTCTGTTCACTATGTTAAAACTGGCTGCTAGAGTAAATATTCCCTTCCCCCCTACAATGTGTTCAGCTGCTGTTTACTATGTAAATTCTTCATCCTGATAAGCATCCCCCTTCAAATCAATAAAACCTTGTGTAACCAAAATTCCTGTGATAACAACTCCCTTTACTAACTCCTCCCCCACTACCTTTGTGCCAGTTAACAGCTATATGCCACGTATAACAAAATGGAGAATCACTGTTTTAGAACTGAAAGAAACTACTCACTCCCCCTCCCATTGTGTATCCAGAAGTCTGTAATGATGACACTACATCCTGTAGGGGGGTTTAGACAAGAACCCTTAGACTGTTAACCAATTGGTGAATGTATACTGTATGTTTAAACTGTGACGTATTTTTGCTTTAAGAAGGAGCCCCCACTCCGGGGAATAAAGCATTCCTGGGTTTTTCACTGATCAGAAACTTTGTCTCCGGTGTGAATTACTTCTAGAGAAAGCGTGCACGCATTAATCAATCAATTTGGAAGGTGTAGATAGACAAATAATCAAAGTTTTCTTTGATTCTAAAACAATTTTGGCGCCCGAACAGGGACTGAAAGGGATACGTTAATAAGGAAGCCGTGAAATCCCAAGACAGGAGAACAGAGGATTCCCAGAGATTGGAAACAGAGCCTGATCACCTCTGCATATGGTAAATGAGTTACTTACCTATATTTTCCTTTCTTTGGATTTCTCTTATTCTCCGTGCCTTCACATTCGGCTTCCGGTGGTTAACGTCTTCAGACAGGTAATATATATATGCCCGAATGTCCCCTTTTATATAGAACCTGTCACTTGTCTATCTACAGCCTGAGTCCTGAGTGTGAGTTTTATGTGTGAAAGTGTCTGTTTGAGAATCTGTTTTACTTTCTTGTGATTATTGAATTCAGGGTGCAAATATACCTGGAGCTTTTAGGCCAGATTATATTAATATTTTAATATTAATTCTTGGCGTTTCTTTTGTTGTTTTTCTTTTAAGTTCAGGTGTGCAGAATAGCCCCTGGCGGTTTAGTTTTTTGTCCGATTTATATTAAAATTAGATCGTGGCGGTTCTTTTGTTGTTTTTAAGTTCAGTTTGGAAAAAAAGCTGGCGGATTATTTAGATCAGGATAGTAAATTTCCTGGCGGATTGTTTTAGATCAGGATAGACAATATCCTGGTGTATTTGTTTGTTGAAATAATAAAAACAACGAACAAAGAGTTAAGTTGTTGTATGTGTGTTTGCGTGTTTCTATGTATGTGACCTGAGTTATTATAAGCTGGCATTTATTTTAAGGACTTTGTGATTTAATCACATCTGTATATTGTGCATGTATATGTTTTTTGTTTTGGGTATATGTTAATTGTTCTATATTTTATCTGTGTCTTGTAGCGCTCCTATTCTATCTTTTGTACTAAGGAGAGCTGTGCTTAGGCACTTACATGGTTAAATACTTCGTGCTTGCAACTCTGCTTCACCCTCTCCCCCCCCCCCTCCTTTTTTTTTGCATCACTCTGGTTCTCTGTGCTCTGCTAGGACGTACATGTGACCTTGATGCACGTTTCCCTTAGTCTATAACTCCTACTCTCTCTCTCTCTCTCTCTCTCTCTCTCTCTCTCAATCTCTCTCTCTATCCCTCTCTCTTTCTCTTCCTAAACCTCTCTCTTTCTCTCTTTCTCTTTCAGTCAGTCTCTTTCTCTATCCTTCTCTTTCTCTTCCTAAACCTCTCTCTCTCTCTCTCTCTCTCTCTCTCAATCTCTCTCTCTATCCCTCTCTCTTTCTCTTCCTAAACCTCTCTCTTTCTCTCTTTCTCTTTCAGTCAGTCTCTTTCTCTATCCTTCTCTTTCTCTTCCTAAACCTCTCTCTCTCTCTCTTTCTCTTTCAGTCAGTCTCTTTCTCTATCCTTCTCTCTCTCTTCCTAAACCTCTCTTTCTCTCAATCTCCCTCTCACCTTATCTCCCTCAGCCTCTTGCTCACTTTCTCCTACACTCTCTCTCTCTCTCACTCTTTTTGTCTCCCTTACTTTCACACTCTTCCCCCACTCTCTCGCTCCCTCATTCTCTCTACCTCAGTCTCTCTCTTTCTCTCTCTATCTCTCAGTCTCTCACTCTCTTTTGGTCCAGGGTCTGCTTCTCTCTATCCATACCACTGTTGTGTATAAATGGGTCAAACTAATGTTAGCCCCTCCCGGGGTCGGTTAGCATGTGACCTTGTAAAGGAAAGAGCTGGGGACTTAGCTGTAGCCAAACTTAAGAAAATTATTAAACTGTGTGGTATTACTATGTCCCCCAGTGGCAGATTGCAGGCGGAAGACTGGAGGAAACTTTTAAACGATAAACATGGGATATTGTTAGATAATGGGTTAATGAAGGCCGCAGATTCTTGGTATCGGGTGGCTCGAGGGATTAAGAAGGAGGGGTGGATTGAGGAGGAGATAGACCTAGAGGGGAAGAAAGTCTTTGTGTATCATGAAAAAGGTTGTTTTGTTGAATCTGTTGAAGGCGTTTCCAGCCCTCCTCCATATGATAAGGCCTGGCCAGAAAGGGGGGTGGCTCAACCAGCCCCTGGAGCCTCCACACAGCCCATTCATGTTAACACGTGCTCTCCAGCCCCTGCTGCCTTGTACCCTGTCCTTAAGGCAGACGGTTCATGTTATTTTCCAGCCCCCTCTCCTTCTCCACTCCAAATCCCAGTCACACATTCCCTTCCTGTTTCTTTGCCTCCTCCTCTCTTGCCCATCTCTGCTGCTACACCCTCTCTTCCAACTCCTGTTGCTTCTGTCCACGCCCAATTCCTTTCACATCTCCCTATAACTTCTGCCCTTTCACTGTCACCATTTCCTGTTTCTAACACACCCATCCCTTCCATGATGGTAACTTCCCCTACCAACACCCCTGTGGTCGCTTCCTCCCTCCCTTCTGTATCCTCTTCCATTCCCGCCCATCTCATAACTGCCCCCAGTGTATCTTTCCCTATTATGACTATTGGATCCACTGTTCCTGCAGCATCAGGCTATCCTCCTGCTGTCACCCCTGCAGCATCAGGCTATCCTCCTGCTGCTACCCCTGCAGCATCAGGCTATCCTCCTGCTGCTACCCCTGCAGCATCAGGCTATTATCCTGCTACCTCCACTGCTACATCAGTCACTTCTCCCCCTGCCTCACAACTTGATTCGGTCCACATTACTCCTACAGTTAGTCACCCTGCGGCCAGTACTACTGTTGGACCGATTTCAGTTCTTCCTGACATGGCTCGTGTATCCAGCCAACAGATTCCCATTCCCCCTGCTGATGGTAGTGTCCAGGGGTGCAGCCTCCACAGACCCCGACTAATCTGCCTCACATTCCCATAGCAGGTGCTTGCAGTACCCAGCATGATCAGGAGGGTGCCCCTTTAATGTATGTTACCTTCAAC